TCGGCCCATTAAGCCATATACGTCTTAACTCAACACCGCGACAGGGCTCCATGACAGTACGACGGTCGCAGTGCTTCATGGAAAAGAAGAGAGAAAGACGACAGGAAGGAACAGAAGGGAAAACGACATGATAACGGGATTAAATGGAATAAGAGTGGGATGGGAAGGGAAGGAGAGAAGGAGAGAGAAAAAGATCTTAAAAAAAAGTTTTTTTTAAGTTTTTCAAAAGTTTTTTAAAAGTTATTTAAAATAAGTTAACAGCCCTGTGATAGCAAGTTACAAGAGAAAGGTAACTCAAGTTACAAGATATAAGTAAATTACCAAGTTTCACCCGTGCATCGCTTGTTAACAAGACATTTCCAGCTTTCAGATCACGATGGATCACATTTCTGCCATGCAAAAAGTCCAGAGCTTTCAAAATTTCCTTCATGATGTACTGAATCTGGGGCTCGGAGAGATTTCGTGATAGCTCCATCATTATACCATCCACCGCACCACCACCACAGTATTCCAGAAGAAGCTAAACATATGCCGAATAAACAAACCAGGAAAAGCATTCGTTGATAATAGAGCCAATTTTTAGCTGCTACGAACGGAGTCCATTTTGCTAAGGATATTGACCGGAAAGCGAAATTTTTCAACTTCGTCGTATCTTTTTGAATTAATAAGTGAACTATCGGTCCCCGTTCTTTAAATCTTGCAACTAAAGGTTATAAAAACAAAAAGCTGAAGTTTTTTAAGTAAAAATTTCAGCTTTTTGTTTTGTCTGGTTCCCAAACTGAAAATTCTCATGAAAAATTTCATCTGTCCGTATTTAAGACATAAGCGTGCGCGAAAGCTGAATTTAAAATTCAAGGGTAATATATTTAGAGGAGGCATCATGGCAAATTTTCAGCTTTCTACCTTGCCGACTACCAAGGTGGAAAACTTCGCGTAAAAATTCCTACGTGTCCGTACATGAGGCTAGGGGTAATGGGGGATTGAATATAAATTTCTGAGATCGGATATGAAGTTAGAAGATTACTTCGAAATTTCAGTTTCCCAGCTTTCGTGGTTCCTGAGCTAAAAAGTGCCGACAATGCACGCGTACACACATACGTACACACACATAAACATACACGCACACACAGACACATACACACACACACACACAGAGGGATGACAATATGCGTTTTGTTAAGCTGTTGCACAACAGAAAATGCATATGCATGGTATCCAGATACATATTACGCCTTTTTGATATTACAAGGCAGCTCATATTTCTCCAACTAATGCCAGCTTTTTACTGGTACTTGCAGTATCAACTACGATCAATTAATTGCGCTGTTATATTTGGCATATTTCATGAAAAAGTATATAATGAAATATGAAAAAATATGACTTTTTTTCATTTTTTTAATAAAAAACCGGCAAATTTTCTAGCGTACCGTAATACGATTGCCCATTGTGAATGCATCGTAGAGTTCGACAATATTGGGATGCTTGCATAGAGCCAAAATAGATACTTCTACCATCACATCCTGGCCTTCGTCGTCTTCCAATTCCATCGCCTGAAATGAAATTATCCACAGTTCTTGTACTGGTACTAAAAAGACATACTTGCACATCAAGCAGTAACCAACTTACTTCTTAAGCAAGCTTCACGGAAAAGTACCACCTACGCATTCGGGGCAAATTGCTGATGTCGGCAAAGTGTTAAAACCTGTGCCGTGAACAGAGCCCTTTTTCAAAAATTGCTCTGGTCCGGGAAGGAATTGAACCACCCCTCTTCATGTCCAGATGCAATGTGTTACCACCACACCACCAGTCCCCATGCTCCAGATCCAGCTGGCAGCACATCTACTGTGTATCTGTCTTTCAAAACTAATACACCTCCCTTTTCTTCTCTTCTTCTTTAGGGAGACTTTTGGCCAGCTTTTCGCGGGTCTTCCGCGATAGCCTGGGCCAGAGTGCCCTCGCCTCCAAAACAGGACGAACTGTGAAGAACTTACCTCCTAAAATAATCAGCATGGCGTAAAACGGATAAAATATAAACAGAGAGAGGCCAACCTTGGCAGCGGCCACTTTTCCGGGATCAAGTTTCGAACGCGCTTTATAGACACTTCCGAATGCACCATCGCCAATCACTTCGTCCAGTGTCCAGTACTCAGAAACATCCGTTTCAATCTTCACAACGGCCGGAATCGATTTCGCCCCTGGTATCGAGCATGACCTCTGGTTATTGTCGTTCGACGAAGAGGAGCCAAGAATGAACTTTTTGAGCCGATTTACGATCGGCATCCTAAATTGAGCATCTGATCAGTCTCACCTAAAACAAACCAACGGTTACCCGAAAGACGCGTCCTGCATGTCCATATCGAATTATCCCGCCAATCATGAAAAACACTAATAGGCACTAAACTTTGATAAATTTCTACAAAAATCGACAATACATTATGTATGGGGGTCAAACAATTTATCTGGATACATTTCTACTTGAAAAAATTCGACTTCAGGATCAGAAACTGGAACAGAGGGGGGAAGAGAGGGAAAGCAGCGTGGGGAGGGAGAAGGAAAGGAATAGGGGAAAAATCATCGCAGTCCCCGAAACGATTTTTCATTTCTCTGCCTGGATTATCAAAAACGTTCCATAACAATGCGAAAAAGTCATAATAACAGAAAACTGAAGATTCACAAATTCGGAAATCGAAACCGAAAAATGCCCATTCGAGGATATCACGGCCAATTTCCAGATTTAGCTGCAAAAGGAACTTCTTCCGCAAAG